GGTCATCTACATTAGTTTTTCTTGCTGTCATAAGGGAAGGGAGAAAGGCATTAATACAAAGCAGTCATGGAAGAGGAGAGCAAGCTGAGGCTGCCTACAGCACCAGCTTCTCCACACACTATAAATACTTCCCTAAAAAAAAAAAAAATTAAAAGAACAAACGAGAGACTTAGCCATATGGTGCTAAATTAATTTAAAATCCCAGGGAAACATCTGATTTTCCTCCCCATGCTTTAGTTGTTTTCATTTAATTTTTGTGGCTGTTGTAGCAGGCATAAGTAAGTGGATGAAGGTGACAGGAAAAAGCCATGAAGGAAGCACTGAAGCTGCAGTCTTTGTGAATAAGGTCCTTTCTTCCCCAGAGAGCAAAATTGCAGCCCTTCTAAGCTTAGAAACATATAGGCAGTATGGCTTTGAAGTCAAAGCCTGTTTATGCTTCAGGTGACGTGTATTTTCTTGGCTCAGCTGAGGAGCACAAAGATGGATAAAATATTTTTGAACCAACAGAGAAACTACACCTAGGAAACACTGGCATTCATTTGGGGCCATATTTTGGTTGGTATCTGTGGACAATTTATCTGTAAGTGTCTTTTTCATGCTGCAGCTACTTCTGTGTTTATATTTGAAGCTGCAGCTTTGGGGCTAAGTGCATGGTATTAACCAATGTTTGCATACTCCAAGCTTTAGAGTACATTAGGTGATGCTATCATTAGTTACATTATTATTAACACAGACAATGACAGAGTTTTCCTGTTTCTCTGGCATACTAACCTCAGTGGGAAAAGTATTTACCACAGAAAGACCTTGGGTATGCCACACTTTAGTGGTTTATGGTCGTTTCAGCAGTTTCAGCTGTGAGAAACAATTACTCAATGAGCACAATAGAGATCCTAAGGGATGTGTAAAAGATGTTTTCAAGGATTCAGTGGAGATGCACATGGTCTGTGGATTCCGACCAATCCACAATGAATTTTTGGGATTAGGTTAAAAAATGATCAGGTATTCTGGGTTGAAGCAACACAATCACCAGCTTTCTCTTGGAGGCTTGGATACTGCCCTGGAGAACTGGGACAGCACCAGAGTCACTGTGGCGGGTGTGGGGAGGATTTCCTTAGCAGGGGAATCCTCACAGTGCCTCATGAATTCCACTTACATTAAGCACACTTAGCATAGCCCCATGAGGAATTTATTTTGAGGGCTTCTTTGAATGAGACTTCAAGACAAGGAGCTGACTGGCATCCATCCTGGCTGGGAGGTCCTTGGCAGCTGCAGTGTACCTGGCAGGTTGCTGCTGCACCAGTAGGAGCAGAGAGCTTCAAAGACTGAGCAGTAGTAATGTCAGCATCTCTTTCATATTTCCAATCAGATCAGCAGCCTAGTCATTCTCACCTGGCATGAGTGGCATGAGTTCTTGACTTGTGTGGTTTTTTAATTCAAATGAATCTTCACAAGGCATATTTTGGAGTTTTGGGCTTTGTTGCAGTGCATGAATTGTACCTCTGGTTTTTAAACTTTTTAAAAAATTTCTTTAAAAACTGATAGGGAAAGGAGTTTAGCTGAAAAGAATACATATATTTCAAACAATGAATCAATAATTAGAGACTAAATGTGCAAGCAGCAGAGGTGATCAGTCCAGGGCCATGCCTAGCTCGGCTGCAGAGAGTTAAACGTGCAATGGGACTCACATTCTCAGAGGCCATGTTATGACCTGGGCTAAAAATTATGCATGAAAGCTCAGTTCCATGAGAGCCATGGCTCCTCTAGGGTGTATAGGTATATTCATCAATGTCTGCTTCAAACTGGATTGAAATATTCACATGCTGGATGTTAAATATGGGAAAGCTGCATGCCTCAGGCTAACTCATTGAAAAACAAATTGCAGTGGACAAAGCTGTGGAAACTTGAAATATTATTTGACATACAGACTGGAAATACACATGCTGAAAATCAGAATGAGCTGCTACTCAAGTCCAGTCTACCTGGATGAAGTTATGGAGAAATGTCAAATAAATTATAAATCCCAGGTTTGACCCTGCCAAGAAAGTAGAATGGAAAAGTGTGAAGGCATTTCTGAGCCCCACTCAGAAGCCAACCAGGAGGTGCAGCTTTTTCACACCCTGAACACCAGCAACAGGAAAATCTAGTGGTGTCCCAGCCCAAGCAGCAGCCTGGAGGGCCAATTCCTCATGTATAGCATCCCCAGGAGCAGCCCCTGCTGCTGCTGTCCAGAGCCTGAGCTGGCATGGGAGAGCAGCGTGCTGAAACACAAACTGGAGAGACCCACTGACACATCAGCAAGGCAGCTGGAAATGGGGATTCCCACCAGATCACTACTGATCAGACACACATCAATACTTGGAGACTAACAGAGATTGCTAGAGATTTCTGCTTGAATTAACCTACCATCAAAGAAGTCGTGTAGATAGTCAGCAAAATAATTTTATTTGATTGTCAGGCTATTAAGAAAGTACCTACCATGGCTCTGCACCTAAGAACTTATATTTTCAAAATCTGTTTCTAGTTTTGTTTCCTCTGTTTTAGCTTTCTGTTCTTTCACTCCCATCCTTTGGGTCTACACTGAACTCCTTGCAGTGTCTTCTCTTAAAGCCTCCTACAGCAGATGTCTTCTCTTACATCTGCTGTAGGAGGCTTTAAAAATATTCTAAATGCCTAGTAGCCAGTGCCAGCTTCCTAGACATTTGTAATTATGTTCTGTCCAAATTAAATTGTTTGTATATGCCATCTCTGATTAAAATACACCAGTAACTTGAAATGGAGTAATTTTCTGGCTCCTCCAACTTTGTTAATGTTAATAAAAGCTAAACAGTTTCTCTATATTTTTTAACTTATCCGTGTTCCTGGAACATAATACTAGAAAAGTTTCTCTCAGCTGTATTTTGTAAGACAACCCCTGAATGTTATGCTAACATGTCATGTTGATAACCACACAGTAAACATCTGCAGAAAGACCTTTGAATCAACTAAATTTGCTAATACCTTGATATATTATTAATTTTCTTTTGCATTTCTCTTCTTTAAGATTTACTGAAGACTTTCAGCAAGCTAATGTTTCTGTCAATAATCTATATCTGGTCAATGAGACTATAAATGGAGCTATTTTAACACCAGTCCTTTAGTAATCTGTCTAACACTTCTGTTTTATGACTGCAATAGCCAGAGCATCATATTTGTTTAAGATCTGTGACGTTCTTCGCCTGAGTTTATGATCTGGTGCTGGAAGATTGTGCTTTGTGGTATGACACCACTTAATCTACAATTTTCAGAGTGAAAGTTAAAGAGGTATTAAGCAAGCCTTTAAAATACTGTGTCTGGCCACTGCAGCTGGAAAAAAAAGGGGAGCTGCAGAGCTTGGAGAATAAGTGTTCAAACAGCAAACTACTGAGCATGATGTTTGTAGTACATGAAAGGAAAAGTCCTCTACACAAGATACCTGTATGAAGAAATACCTGCAAATGTCTAGATACAGTCATCATAAAAATAAGTGTGCAACTATGTATGCAGTTATGTATATATGAATGTACATGCATATAAATATGTGTATGTATTTAAAATCCATACAAGATATGTAGATACATATATACCTACATGGAGGGAAAGCTGGGTGGGCTGAGCAGGATATTGCATAAAATCAGAAGCTGAATGCATGCTTTCCCTGCAAATAAAGCAATTACCCAGTTAAAACAGTTCAGGACTGATGGACTCCTCTACCAAATGCTGAGCTTTAGGATAATGCAGGCTGGCTATAGCAGGTGGGGACTCAGGGAGTGCCTGGTTTGTGCTGCTGCTGGAGGGGCCCTGCTGTGTGCCCACACTCGGGCAGGGTGTTGTGCTCACTGCCTGCTCCCACCCCAGTGCCCACTTCAGCTGCCTGAAGGAGCCAGGATGCTGGAAGAAGCTTAGAGAGGGACTCGAGGAGCTGATGGGATGTACCCTGCCATGCCAAAGGGAGCTGGGACCCTCCAGGACCCAGGCACACACCAGTCCCCAGGGAAAAGCGACCAAGGGGAGCAAAGTGCACCATGGGCAGAGGGAGGCAGATCCTGGAAGAAATATCCAAGTTTGTAACTGTCATAATATGACCCTCCATGCTAATTTGTGAAACCTCTAGATACCCCATCCTAATTATCTTTTTTTTTTTCCCTTCTACTGTGTTCCTTAAATGCATATGTGAATTGTGGCTTGCTTGGAGTGTCAAATCCTGCCAGAGCAGGGCTCCAGCATATATTAAGCTCTGATGTTTTCCATTCCTCTCATCACACAAACCAATTTCAAACAAATTTAATTCTTTGATATTCTTGGATTCTAAAGTACAATTTTCTGAAAGGCTGAAATCATGAGAGACAAAATTTCAAATCAAAAAATGTCTCTATGTATCTAGAATAGTAAGCAATAATGGTGGTTTTTTTCTGCAAGAGACTCAGCACTTCTGGCTACTTTACCTCAATGCATTGAGTTAGGGAAAACTCTTGCCAGCTACACCACCAAACAGCAATTAAGCAGGCAGCATGCTCTTTGTAGCTTGAGAAGAAATAAGGTTTGCAGGAGAACTGCTATACTCACAGCTTCAAAAATGTGTCAAAATCTCAGCCCAGTTTCATTCAACACTGTTCTGGGGTGTAAGCTGCTGCACACTTTGGAAGAGAAGTCTATGATTGCACTTCCTGTCTTAATGCTGTTTGGACACATATTAATGTCATTAATATTAATTAACATGTTAATGACAGGGAGCCCCGTGCTTTGTTGGGTCAATTACAAATTAAATGAACTCATAATCAATACACATGAATCTGAATGAACTGATGACAGGTGGCTCTGGTTTAAATTGAGAAATCTATTGAAAATATTGAAATAAAAAAATCCAGTCTTGAGTAAAGAATTATTTTGTGGTTTTATTTCTGAATAGAAGGGAAAACAGGAATACTGTGCTTGAATGTTGAGGTCAATAAACTATATCCTTTTTTTGTTTGTTTTTTTTTTAGGTATAAAGCTATAGTAAGGCCAATGGAGATCCAAGCATCACATGCACTGATGAAGATTTGTGTGAGAGCTGCTATAATCTGGATTGTATCCATGTTGCTTGCCATCCCTGAAGCAGTATTTTCAGATCTGCACCCTTTCCATGACAAAGGGACTAATAAAACCTTTATCAGCTGTGCTCCTTACCCTCATTCAGATGGGCTGCATCCCAAAATCCATTCAATGGCATCATTTCTCATATTTTATATTATTCCCCTGTCTGTAATTTCAGTGTATTATTATTTTATTGCTAAGAACTTGATCCGGAGTGCTTACAACATCCCCGTGGAAGGAAATGTGCATGTGAGGAAACAGGTAGAGATTTGACTTTCTTCAAAAATCCACATTCTCTATGAATCTGGGAGGAAAGAGGGAATACAGGGAAATTTACACAGTGACAGACTGTGTCTGTGGTACTGATTTTAATAGATTAGGTGGGGTAAAAGAAGTAAAATGGATGAAAGAAGCTATAATATAGGGCTAAACAGTTAAAGCATCTCCTCCTGTTTGTAAGTTCAGAGACTTTGGCAGAGTGGTTACCATGGCAAGCATAGCAGGAGACCATTGCCAAAGCCTGGGAAGGCATTGACTAGGATGCAGGCAAAGGGGAAGAGCAGATACAGTGTTTGCAGATTGAAGCAAAGGGGTGATATGGGAGAAAATCAAAACTTCACAAAGTTGCTTTGTCAGAGAGAGGACCTTGGATGAAGCCTTGTCTGTTTCTAAACAGCCTATTTACCTTGACATATTCATCTTATTTGCCTTACCTCTTCTTTTTAACTGAGGTGTGCTTCAGCCTCAGCTAAACTGACACCAGCCATTCCTAGCTGAGCAATTGTCCACTCAATTGCACCCAGCTGACACCTCCACCTTAGACTGACCCAACAAAATCATCTTACACAGCCTTCAGGTGCTATGCTGAAGCAGTAAGGCTGGAAGGGCTTGGGTTTTGCCCATCAAATGATGTGCAATCCCTGAAATCCTTATCCTTTTTCCCTTCTGAATGTGCCTCAATCTTTTTCCCTGCAGGCCATTTCTCTGCTGATTCAATGGCTGTTTTGATTAGTGGCAATAAAGTGCAGCCCTTTCCCCTTTGGTTTTGGGGAGAGAGCTCTTAAAGAAAGCAAAAGGCCAGGCTGGTCTAGCACCCTCTGTCCATCATTCCCGTCCTGCAGTGCATTCAAGTGCTATACATCTCCATCTGAGATAACTGGTATCGATTTCTTTATTGCATTGCTTCCTTTCTTTATAGTGCAGATGTGGCCTCAATAGCCCTATATCAAATTAAGAATACATTTTAAAAGAATATATGGTTTAGCCAAGGAGAGCCCTTTCTCAAAGGATTTAATTTTCAGCCTGTTTGCTGGAGATGTTATCATCTGGTGCATGTCAGTCCTTCCTGAGCTCAATGGCTGATTTTTAGTCAGTGCCATTAAAGGGGCATGAAATAAAGTCCAAATGTGCTTGCCATGTCTCTTCTGCCTGCTTCCTGCTTGCAGCTGTCCTGAGAATAGATTAGGCCCGTGTAAGATGCTCAGTTTCTGATTTACCTGTGGAGCTTGGATTCAGAGTGAGGATGGGGCAATGTCCTGGGAGCCTGGCCAGGCACTGTGGCAGGATCAAGGGCAGCAGGGCTGAGGCTAGGAGCAGTTGCAGGCCATTCACATCCTACTTAAGTACAAGAAGTGGGATGCAGCTAATTCCCTAGGAGTGTCTGGGGAGCATTAGTGGGATTACCACAGAGGAGAACATTAGGGAGCCCTAAAATATCAGCAGTGTTATGTTTTCCAATCCTGCAGACTCTGGCTGCATAACCTCTCCCAGGGAGCAGTGCATTTTGGCAGGTTTTTCTGGGCAACTCTCTGTCCTCTCATTTTGGGCAACCTCCTTCATGGCTTTTGCATTCATAAGGCAAAGAGAGATGTGTTTTTCAGTGTCTTTGTCATCTTAATGTACACCACTTATGGGCAAAAGACAAGGTATGGCTTACCTCAGCTCCCCTCAGTTGAGCAATACCTTTGGGTTGACTCCAGGCCTGTAGAAGTAAGTAAAAGGGAAGCGTGGCTGTTCTGCATGAAGGTTAGACTGAGTGCTAGCTGGCTTTGTGAAAGCACCTTTCCCTGACAAAGCTCAGATTGTGCGAGAGGTGGTCATCCATCTATTCACCACCTGTAGCTCTCTCCTGGTGGCTCCAGCACTTTCAGCTGAAGGGTCCACCTTGCTGCCACCTTGGTGTTCCAAGTACAGAATATCCTTTCCCTGATTCTCCATCTCCTCCAGACTCTGAGTGCTGGACTTGGTCGTAAAGGGCTGTGCAGCTGTTGACAGCACTTTTGTGTACATACACCACGTGGCCCCATGGCAGAATGTCCTGACCATGAAATATCCCAGACTACTACACAATAATTAATTATAAAAATAGTAATAATAATAAGGTGATTTATTAAAATTACATATGATTGTATACATTATGTGTGGATAACTAATGCAGATTGTCCACACTTTTCTTGCCAGAGCTGGGATTTTGCAAAGTGACAAGCCACTAGAATTTTATCTCTAAACAGAAAAGAAAAGAAAGACTACTTCTTATGTAATAAATTCTCAGAATTACTTGTTTGTAAGGGAAGGGGGTTGAGGATAGACAAGGAGAATTCTTGACTGTGTTCACCTGCAGTCCAGATTTCCCTGCTCTGGATGTACCACCTGCCATATGTTAGCTGAAAAGTTGCAGCACTGGCAAAAATAGTCAGCCCCTGGTCCGAGCTAGGAACAGCAGCTCATCTGTGTTTCTCTTCCTTGGTGCAGATTGAGTCCCGGAAGCGCCTGGCCAGGACCGTGCTGGTGTTCGTGTGCCTCTTCGCCTTCTGCTGGCTGCCCACTCACATCATCTACTTGTACCGGTCCTACCACTACTCCGAGGTGGACACCTCAGTGCTGCATTTCATCGCCAGCATCTGTGCTCGGATCCTGGCCTTCACTAACTCTTGTGTCAACCCCTTTGCTCTCTACTTGCTCAGCAAGAGCTTTCGGAAGCAGTTCAACAACCAGCTGCTGTGCTGCAGAGCTCGCCTGCTCATCCGCTCCCACAGCATGGCCAGGAGCACCACACGAATGACCTCCCTCAAGAGCACCAACCACTCCCTGGCCACCTTCAGCCTGATCAATGGCAACCACATCTGCCACGAACGCTGTGTCTAAAGGGCGCAGTCAGGGACATCAGTTGCTGAGCGTGGCTGCAGGACTTTGCTCCATGGGCATGGTGAGCGGCGCACACACGCATGCACACGTTCATGCGAGGAGGTGTGGTGTGTTCAGAGAGCTCAGAGGAGCTTGAAGCATCCAACATTTCATCTTGGGCTGAGGCTGAAGCATCCAGCATTTCACCCTGGACTGAGTCATTGCCAGACCACCAGATCATTGAGCACCAGCCCACAGGATCTCCCTGGGAAGTGCTGCTGTGCTTTCAATGTGAGCAAAACGAGCTTCTTAAGATCAAATCTTTTTTGGCTCTGCAGAATCTTCATCACTTCCTGCTCAATCCCAAACTTATGCAGACTTGCAGCAGTGATAAAGACCATATCAGGTGCACACAATTTGTCAGAACAGTTGCATCCATCCCTTCATGGTGTAATGTATTTTGACATAAAAATAAATCAATTTAAATAAGGTAAATACTTTTACAAAGGAGTTCAACGTGGGTCATTTACAGACTTTTCAAATATTTATTAATGTCCTGAGTACAGTATTAATTCATGGTCTAAAAGATATCAAGGGTTTACTGGGGCATGTCTGTGGCCCCTTCTGAAATGAGCAGTATCTTGCACCATATCAATGTGAAAGCAGTAACGTGAATAAATGTGAGCTGGAATATGTTTACAGCTTTCAACTGTGTGAGCTTTTGCCTTGTTGTGGAAGAGACAGCAGGGCAATTTCCAGGCATTTCTGTTTTGTTCTTCCTGTCTTCAAAGTTGTGAGATAGTGAAAGTTGCATCACCTAAGTGGTACCACAAAATTTGGGTCTGGTTTAACTAAGAGCAGGCAATAGCAGAAACTGATGTACAGCTATTTTTCAGGTAGCAGTGCTTTGTAAAACACTAGTTTTTCAGCAAAAGCTATCAGCAATGCAAGGTGTGATCTCCAGCCTACATTTTTTCCTACTGTCTTCACAGAAGTCTGTGGAGACAGAGAGCCAAAACTGGCTGACAGATTGGAGAAACAGGTCTACTGTAAAGTTTGCCCCAGAACAATACCTGTGCCAGATACCATCTATTCTGGAGCAGGAGTACAGTGTCCTGCAGATAACAAACTCCTGAAGCACCCGGGCTATAAGACACACAATGAAGCACACCCGATAAATAAAACTGCCAAATGACGCCATAAACCAATCACTGTAGCAAAATATTGGGTTTTTAATGGTCCTTATCCTCTTTGATGACGATCCTTTTCATTACCACACCAAAAGATAAATTAAAGCTGGTAAAACTTTACCTGGGTTTGCTCTGCATTTGTAGAAAAAGTCATGTGTGCAGTGTAAAAGCTCTCAGCCCTCCATCTGCAGCTGCTTTGGGATGCTGGTGGCATCTGCTGTCTCCAAGGACACAAACAGGCTCTGATGCCAAAAGTAGAGGTCTGAAAACTTTGTCTCATTTTCCCTTTTGTGCTTCGGATGAGGATAGACATGCAGGTACGTGAGCTCAGGATGGGGCCACAGCACTGTGCTGCTGAGGAGTGCATACATTATGTGTGCATACACTGCCCTGTTCCCCCAGCAGCCCTGGGCACTGCCACATGGGTGTCACCCCCTCCTGCAGTCATAAGTGCCCCCCACATCACAGTCAGGCTGAAAACGAATGGGATAGGGATATTTTACAGATCAGTCAAATCCCTTGACGGCTGACTGTGTCACTGTGATGTTAATTTAAATTTACTGAGCTATCTTGAGGTCCTCCCTTACTAAAATTTTCAGTGCTTTCCCTAATCTTTATTATGAAGCTACATAGAGTACCAGAAGTTCAGTCTGCAACAATTTCAGAGAGTTTGGTTGAGTTCCAAGCTGTTTATGACATTTCAAAATGAGAAAAATTTATCCAGCCTAAGGCATTTTTATTAAATATTTTCTTTAGCCCTGTAAGAATTTAATCAAAGGCAAGCAGGAATCACATACTTCAACAGCAAACACACCAGGTGTGCTATACAATGTGTCCTCCTGTTTGGTAACAAGAGATTACTGTTGTTCTACAAGAGACTTCAAAAGTTTCTGAATTTTTGTTTCTGAGAGAAGGGACTAAAATCATAAATCATGAATCACAAAAATGAGAAAATCATAAATACGGGGAAAAGAGCACTGTTATAACTCCCTTAGGGCTATGCTGAATCACGTACCCTGCCTCCCTGAGAAAGGCATTGTTTTGAACACAGGAGAGCTATGAAGATTTAGCACTGTAGATTTAAATATGTGCTATTGATTATATACTTTCCTTCAAACCAGAGCTAGTGACTCCTCCAGGAACAGGAAACAGTTATGGCTCTGGTCTGAAAAGTGCTTTCCAGAGATGCAGCTGCAGGTTGTCCACAGTGTCACAGCCTCACTCCTTAAGTTGCTCAGTACTATTTAGTGATGGACTTGGCACTGCTGGTTGAACTCAATGACCTTAGAGGTCTTTCCAACCTTAATGATTCTGTGATTCTATGATTCCTTTTAACTTTGGTTTTGCATCTGATAGGCTTAAATTTAGGGGGAGCTCCATGTAAAATGCAATCTTTTCATCAGAATCTAAGATACATACAAGTTATTTTAATATTTAGAAAATTAGATCAAGTCTTTTCAAATAAGATGTAAGTTTTCATTAACATTCTTCATTGTAATCAGATCCTTGGCTCCCTGTTCAATATCTTTAAGAAAATTTGATGGGTCTGTGGAAAAAAATTGAAAAACATTCCTTGCGAAAAGTATTTTGAAACATATTTCACAAGCTTGCATTTAATACCATAATACCATTGAAAAAGCAAACCTGAGGTTGCACTTGTTTCTATTTCATCCTCATATTAAATATATCAATGCAGCAGTTGAGATCAGGGAAGGAAGGAAAAACTGAAATATTTGTAGCTGCAATTTTTCATGTGTGTTTCTCACTCCTTGTCTCATTACCTTGGTTTCAAAAACACGATGTACTTTACACTCTTGCAGCAGCCTGATCCCTTATCTAGGGCTCTCTCGGTGTTTGCTGGCACAGCTGCAGTGCTGATTCTTTGAACCTGGAGCGTTGTCTGCAGCGTTTCGTTTGTTTGGTAAATTTTCAAAGTACCAAAAATAAAACCCGTGCCCAAGCATAACCCAAGAAATCCTGTGCTCAAGATAAAATCCTGGCAGGCAACTCCAGCACTGTGCCCTCAGGTACTGCCCAGTCCTGGGAGGCTTTGCAGTCCCTGGCTGTGACCCTGGGGTGGCTGTCCACCCTCCTTTCAGCTCTCTCCATCAGCACTGGAAGCATTGCAGTAGTGACTCAGACCATGTTTTTTAAGGAATGCTATGTTTCAATGCCCCTGAAATGCCTGGCTCCTGGGAGACTGAGGAGTTTCCCACACTGGGTCCACGTGGAAAAGTTGTCAGGTGAAATTCCCTTTGAACCAGGCAGCCCTTGGGTTCAGTCTGCCCTGTCCCGTGTGGCACATGGCAGTTGTGTCATTATCTGCAGGGTGGGCGTGTGGGTCAGGACGTGTGTGTGACACCGTAGGGCACTACTGCTGTTCCCCCAGCACAGCTCTGCTCTCCTCCTGGGTCACAGGTGCTACCAGGAAGAGAGTCACTAAAAAAATACGTGGCTGCCATTTCCTGAATTAGTGTGAAATGCAAAACTAACATTAAACAGGTACAGATCCAGTGTCTGAAGAGGGACTACACTGAAGCTGGACAGGTACTCTTCATCAGGAACTGTAGTGAGAGGACAGGGAGCAATGGGTTCAGACTGAAAGAGGGGAAATTTAGGTTTAGACATACAGAAGAAAATATTTACTATGAGAGTAGTGAGGAAGAGGATGTCCAGAGAAGTTTGATACCCTATTCCTGGAAGTGTTCAAGGCCAGGCTGGATGGGGCTCCGAGCACCCTGGTCTCGTGGAAGGTGTCCAGGTCCTGGAGACAGGGGTTGGAACTAGATGGTCTTTATGGTTCCTTCCAAACAAAACCATTTTTTGGTTCTATATGAGTTATGTTCATGCTTATATTGAGTTATGTCCATGCTTGCTCAAGAGAAATTAAATAGGATAACACAGTTTTCTTCATTAGGAATTAATTTTTCTTCTGAAATTCCTGAATTCCCTTCCTGAACCTGGTGGGAGATGAAGATGGCAAGTAAATCAGAGCTTTCAGCTGTTCTTGCTCTAGTTTAGGATTATTCTGTGCAATTTGGTTCTAAAACTATTTATTCTAGGTTTGAAAAATCATCACAAAGGACCAAAAAGTATAGAAACTTGCTAATACTGACACCAGATAAACAATTCAGATTCCTCACCTCTGTTTACAAGCAACATTTTTCTTTCAGTATCTCCAAATATTGCCTTTTAGAATATGTTTAAATATGAAAACTCAAAGGTGTATGATTCTGCTGCATGACAACAATAGGTGCAAACAAGCAAAAATATCAGATGGTGGAAAGGAAGATTTTTACTTTTAAAGGCAAATATTTATTTATGAAAATATTTGTTGAACTCAAAGAGTTATTTTTTTTAATCCACCAAATTCTACAAAAGGTAATGAGTTTTTCTTTGTTTTAAATAATGAACAAGAATTCAAAGCATCTCTATTCACCTAATAAGAAAACAGGAAACCTGTTACTGATATGTGTAATCCTGATTCTCCCAATTAGCTTGATTTATTTGGAATGAATGTTGCAGTTAAAACCCAGAAAGATTATACTTTTATGCATGATTTGGCAGAAATAATATACCTTCTTCCTCATTTTTCTGACAAAATACATTTTTTTACAGCAGAAAACCAGTGTGTATTCAGTTGGGGGAAAAATCCCTCTCTTTCAGCCTTCTTTAAAGGCAAGAAGTTCAGTGCTGCTTATCTGAGCAGTGAGCACTCCCCTGAATGCTAAATGCTCATTGTTAGTGCTGGGCCATGATAACAGGGTAGTTTATCCTCTCCATCCTAGGAAACCACAGCAGGTGATGGGCCTCTATCATTCACCATAAATCATTAGAGATTACTGATATTGCCCTTTCCAAGACGAAGATGGCAGCAGCTCAAAGATGCAAGGAAATATTTAGATGGCATTGTTCAAACCTGAGAGTTTTCTACACATTACTGAAATATTTGTGCTACCCTCACTTAATTTGTTTTTTAATATTTTTTATGACAACATCTTTATATATGATGCCATCTTTTAACCCTGAAAATCACGGATGGAAGACAGCTGATTTTAGCTGACTTGGGTCTTCTGTAAATTGGTATTTATTTAGCAACAGACAAGTTGTTGTTAAGCTATAACAGGTATTTTAGCATGGGTAGCTAAAATAGACATCACTCCCAGGTGAGTTCAGCCAGCCTGCAGGGGGGGTCAAGCTGCTGCTCCTGCAGCCCTCTCTGGCACAGGGTGTTTCTTGCAGGGATCTCACATGCACCTCTGCAGCCAGACCCTCCCCAGAGCCAGCAGCCCCGGGCCAGCCTGGTCCTCACACGCTCCTTCTGGTCAGACCACCTTGCCCTAAACCTCTCTCTCCTCCCAGAAGGGCTGCAGGGTTCCACCCCTGCCACCACAGCCTCCTCCTGCCCTGCTGAAAGAGGAACTCCACATCTCTAAATCGTGCTTCAGGCACCCCAGGTGCTGTTACTTGGGCACAGGCTCCAGATCTCCTATAATTATTTCTCCACTGTAGTAGCTTCCCTAGGAAGCCTGAAGTTTACTTGAACAGGCCACCTGGAAAGGCTCAGTACCTTGAAATTGGTGGAGGTTCATGAGGATTCACACTTAACCCATGAGTCCTCACACAGGCAGGGCAGCTGTGCAGGTCATGCCACAAAAGGGATGAAAGAGTTCTCTTTGGAAGAGTCCCCCCCCTTGGAAAGTCCCTCACTGCTGGCCAGCTGGATTGATATTATGTCTTTATTACTTCATAATAATTGAGCACAGCAATTGTAAAATCTTTAAAGAATAGAGAGTGAATAACATTCTGCTTAATGCTAAGACTATCAATGGAGACTACGTCTCATTTTATATTAAAATCACATCTAAAAGTAATTTTATAAGTGCCTAATTGCTTGTTTATGGAAATAGCTACTTCAAATGATTTCTGTGATTAGCTTGACTGTTTCACTGTAAGTGGATATGAATTAAAGAGAATCAATCCTAGAATTCTTTTGAAATAAAAGATTGAATTTGTCTTAATGTAAATTAATTACACTTACTGGCAAAATGCCTGCCTTATGCTGAACATCTCTTTGTAAATGCTACTCTGTGTTTTCCAGGCAAGTCAGGTCCACCCAGTGTGTTGCTTTGAAGTGAATGGATCTGTGTCAGCACTTCCAGCTGCAGTCAGACAGTGTATTATCCACACCAACATCCCTCTGCATGCAGCTGGGTTTTAGTGGGGCTGGATTTGACATCAGGCTCTGCACTGTGGCAGAGGAGGAAGACTATAACACCTGCCCATTGAGCAAGTTTTCTTGTACAAAGCGTTTCAAAGGGTTAAAGGATCACCAATCCATGGGGATGGACAGGCACATACAGTGCACATGGTTCCCTCTGTTTTGGACACTTCCCTTTGCGTGAGACCCAGGCCCCATTTCCCATCTCCCAGACCAACTCTAGCATGTGTTGAATGCCTCACTTCTAACTGGCTGATGTCTGCCCGGCTAAGTCCCAGCACACTGATCTGAGTCTCTCTGCCCAGGGCCCAGGGCCCCTCTCTGTCCAGCCCTGTCTCCCTGCTGGCCAGCAGAAGGATGTACCTGATTCCTCATTATTCTGTTCTTACCAGCTGCTGCCCTGTCACCACCATCTCATGTCACCTTAGGCTGGCTCTTAGGTTTAACAAGGAGAAGGGGTCTTTTACTCCCCATAAGTCACCTTAATGAGGCATATAGGAGACCTCTTCAGATGGTGGTTCAGGTCTTTGCTCATTTGTCCCTCTGGGGTTGTCAAATTCCTTACTGGCATGATAAGGTGAATTGGCTGTTAAAACACTCCCAAGGGCCACAGGGACCCTGTGGGACCACTTTAGGCAACTTGCTCAAGCTCTTTTAGACCAGAAGTCTAACTTACAGCCTGTCTCCCCTGTGCCATGTGGTTAGTCATGTAGCAAACTGAATAGGGAGGAATAGTCAGAATAAAAATGTCTTATTGCCATAGATACATTCAGAAGAAGGTAATAGCAAATCCAGAAAGTTCTCAAGCCAATCTCATGCCTACAGTACTTACACTTGTGCTATGCCAGAGGCTGAAGGTAAAGAGCAAGAGAAATGGTCCTTGATCTGATACACACTCATATGTGCTATGAAAGGGACAATCTGTAGGAAAAAAACATAATTTATTGATGACCAAAAGGAAACTTGGGAAAAGTGGGTGTGTTTTTCCCTGTAAGTGCAGTGTGGCATTTCACAGAAGAGGCAAGCTGCACGATATCATCTGAGTGACAGAGTATAGGTTGAAAAACACTCTTAATTTTATGCCCTCTCTCAGCAGTTAGCAGTCTCCAGGCAGAACTCACCTCTGTCCAAGAAGTGGAGCCCTTTGAGGGAGTGGTGAGCACTAAACTCCAAGAGGGCATTTCAAGTTTAGTTGTTTGTTCCTGGAGGAAAAATCATCGAGCATTTCTAATCATTCTGAATGTGCATTCAGGACCAGTTGCTGGCAATCTAGAACAAGCCAGGAATCGATTCAGGAAGGGTGGCAAACCATTACCATGATATGCACTTGAAAATATCTTAAAGAGACCACACAGTATTTGCTTTTAATAAAAATTAGAACAGCAGGATGAGAAGCCACAGCTTTATTAGCAGTGCACTCTGAGGACAGCAGAAGACACAGCCCACTTCATTTCTGTTTCCAAGTGCATGGATGCAAAAGCTTAGTTACAAACTACAGAACTGTGCATATTTCATAAAATGTGCATAAATTTGATATCTCCTATGAATATTATTTATTGCTTTGTAAAGTAATGTATGTATGCATTCAGCCATGTGTATAGAATGTAAATATCTTGTATTGTTGTGCATAGAGACGGTGCAGTTTATTTCATCTGAAATATACTTCACTTTCCTTTTCCAGAGGCTGTATAATCTGCTATGAAAAACAGTGAAAAATAATTTCCCTATTAAAAGAAAATTTGCATTAATGACAGTATCTCAGCTCTCTTGAAATATTATTTAGAAGGAAAATTTAGAAGAAAAAAGGTCAGAAAGTGAAAACGTGCTGCAATTTGGGCTTTTTTTCTGTGACTTTGATGTATTTTCTAATTTCATGCACTATGCTTTTAAAATTGCTCATGAATGGCCTCTACATAAATGGACTCAGTTGCAGACTGTCAAATGTGAGTATTGAATTTCACAAAACTTACAGCTAATAAAGCATGACAGACAAAATAGATGACATCTGTTGCTTCTTAGTTAGGAAAAAACCCACAAGTTTCATAAGCATTTTTATCCACTTGCTTTTGTGTCAATTTTCAAGCATTAGAAAGGGTTATCTTCCAGTGACCAAACAGATGGGACCACAGGCTGTGCCACCAAAAAATCCCACTGAGAACCTCATCCCAGGTCCAGTTTGCTCCCATGGGCAACACTGGACTGGCAATAGGTGTGCAAACCCAAAGGGCTTGGCAGAGGTTTTTGAAATGTGTAGTACTCCCATTTCTGCCACCACTGACCTGCAGCAGCAGTGGAGATGTGAATGCAGCACCAGCAGCCCTGGAAGGAGCAGGGACAAGGACACAGACAGAGCAATGAAAAGCTGCAGTCAGCATGGCCTGTAAAAACAAAGGGCTCACAGCAATTGTATTAGAATAACTGGATACATCTAACAGTTATTGGCCGTGAAACTCAGCTGCACAAGGTTGATTAATTAATGGAAAAATACAGAGGCATGCTGTGAAAGCTCTCCTGTGATATGTTGGCTCATGTGGTCTTTGTGTCTGGCTCACTGGAAAGAAACTGTGAGTGACCTTTGCTTCAACATCCATACCACTTTGGGCATTTGTTACAGAATAGTTTTGGCCCTCAAAGAATCAACTGCAGCTCACAATTGAAAGAGATGTTGCTTTTGTGGAAAGTTATTGTACTTATGGTAATCAATCCAATCCACCAAGTCTGTGGCTCTTTTCCATCCTCATTACAAACACTGTGGGCTGGATGCAGATATAGGAATGTAGGAGTGCTGCAGGAGGCAAAATGTCACACTAACTTCAATTTCTTCTTCTTGGCATTGTTTGATTCAGATTCATAATGCAGCTCACACTTTGTTACATGTTTGACTTTCTATTAATAATATTATTTAAAGCGTAAACAGTATAGACAACTAATGAAAGACTGTTTATAGGAAAGGTTTTATTTACATATTTATGCCATCCCTCATTTAAAACTTCAATTTCTTTTTCTATCCTGTTGGCTACAGTTCTCTTATATACTACTATACAAAACTACTTCTTATATTGCATTATCTTGCAAGTGATCTGTGTATTATAATATTAAATACTATGAAATAATCTGAATACTGTATTTGAGTAGGTATTTTTCAGAGATTACATGTATCAAAACAGACTTTTCACTGTGCATTTAGCATGAAAAGGTATGGAGTACAGTAATATCACATAAGTTTATTTTTTTTTAATGTAGCACTTTGCACAGATTGGAAGGTCCCTGATACTCACTGGAAAACCTATAGAGAAAAGTGTTGCAAGACATCTAGCACTGCACACAATGAAGTTCCCAGAGACTGCAAATTCTACAAGTCTGCAGTCTGGTTTCTTTCTGCTCAGGCAGACACGGCTAGTACGAGTTGTGCTGGCACATCAGCAATCTCATGACTTGAACACACGAACAAGTAAAGAAATCCTCTGGGCAACCTGTTCCAGTGTCTCACAGTAATGAAGAATTTCTTCCTGACATCTCATTTAAACCTGTGCTTTTTCAGGGTGAAGCCATTCCCCTTTGTCCTGGAAGTATGGGCCATTGTAAAAAGTCCAGCTCTCATTTCAGCTGCTTTGGCTGCTGCAGGGCTGACAGCAGATCTCCCCAGAGCCTTCTCCTCTCCATGCTAAAGAGCCCCAACTCTCTCAGGCTGTCCTCACAGGAGAGGTGCTCCAGCCCTTTGTCCTTCTCATGCTGGGTCCCCAGAGCTGGCTGCAGAACTCCAGGTGAGGTCTCATGAGAGCAGAGTTGAGGGAATGAATCCTTTCCCTCAACACCACTCCTGAAGCAGCTGAGGACACTTTGGCTTCCAGGGCTGTAAGCACACATTGCTGGGTCACGTCCAGCTCCTCATCTACCAACACCCACAACTCTTAGAACAGCTTTGTCATATAATACAAAGAATGGTAGAAAGACTCACCTTATGCTGCCTGACATTACTTTCAGATGGTAGGAATGTTCTGGAGCAGAACTGTACTTCTCTTTGTTTCTGCTGCATCTTGTCCAATGTTGATATTAATTACCAGTTTACATTGTATTTCTATTTGCATGGGAGATCTTGGGAACGCTCTACTGGAAAATACATGTCTTTGCTGTTTCATACCATCACACTTAGGGATTTATTAAGACACTTATTAAGAAAATATGTCAAGTCTCTTACCTAATAGTTTTATTAATTTTGGGCTTATTAACTTTACTGGGTTTTATTACGTTTTCTGCCACTGGCTTAAAGGACACCCTTACCAGGAAATGAAGTTAATGAAGCTTCTATTTCCATATTATACTTATATTAGGAATATTACGTGCACCATCATTCAGAGCTGGTCAAATGTAAATAAGGATATATTTACTGGGAGTTACTCTAGGGTCTCTCAGGCCACTTAATTCAGTTTCATCAATATGATTGAGAACTGATTCTTAAGCTTTCTTGTGTAACCTCAGCTTCTTGCTAATCCTCCTGGAACAGAGATTATCGGCCTTTGATTAAGGTAGATTATTAATTTTTTATGATAATTTTTAATTTATTTGTAGTAACCGTACTTGAATTTGTTAAGCTTCAGGAGACACTCCAGTAAACTTGTGAGCACAGTTTCCATGTAAGAAGGGAACAGATCTGCTAAGTTGCTATACCTTCACACAAACATAACAGACCTTAGAACAGGCTCTGAAATTCAAATGAAAGCAGGGGATCTGGAAACACATTCTCTTGCACTGAAAACTGAAATAAAGCATATGGTATTGGGGGAAACTAATTCTTGCTGAGAGAAAATGTGCTCTCCCTGCTGCCTCACCAGCTCAGGATAATTTTCTGCAATGACACTCTCCAAAGTCTACCCAGCAGATCTTTTCCAGGAACAAACGGTGCAGGAAGGACCAAATGAAATATCACTACAGCTGAGTTGTGCTGTTTCATCCATTGAGGAACTTGAATGAAATATTTCAGATGTTGGAGAAGTTAGAGAAAGTGTTACCTGCTGCACTGGCTTCTTTGCAGATTTTTCTAGATTCCATGTGAAAATAAGGCTTCAAAAGAAAACAGCAAAGATGGATGGGACAAGTCTTTTCAAGCAATGCAAGATGTTTTTTGGATAAAATTAGGCCAAGTTACTGTACCTGGTGAAAGAGTGGAAAATTATGGAGATATCTAAGAGAAACGTTGAAGTTTTAAAAAGTGACTCGCCCTACAGGCTAGCATTACTTTCAGTGAAGAAAACAGATTTATCCTACTCTTTTTGAAGATCAAAACATGAGGACACTTCTCCAAACATTACAGACTCTGCTATTACCTCTAGCATGGGCACTGCAGAGAGCTAGATTCTCACCTAGACTAGGCTGAACCCTGTTCATTGAAAAGAGGCAATAACACTGATTTCACTCCTGCTAAACACTTAAGTCATTTTTATTACATTTTTTTTAAAGAGTATAATTGTTATACTGAATTTTTCTAAGAGCACAGGATCAGTTTTCCACCTGAACATAGGCATTGGCAGCATATGAAAGATGTCAAGGTGAGTGTAATCATAATTTCCAGAAAAAGTAAAGGCACATGGGTACAGACAAAATAATGACTCTTTGCTTTTAGATTTTGCTTGTCACTGCAGTGAATTTTATAATTAAACTAAATGTAGTATAGAAAAAAATTCAAACACCAGAAAATGTGTTTTCATAGGCAGCATTGCCATTAGAGCTACATCTCCACAGGTATCAGGGAAACAAAAATATAATATTATTTTCATGCTTCTAGATGATGAGTTGTAGGAAACCTTAACAACTCCTTTATAAAGTAGTCCTTTTGATTAAGCATTTATCAGTGTTGTCAGTCAGTTTAAACTATAATGCCAACGACAAGTTCATCTTCTCCCTGTGTGCTGCAACGATTATGAGCTGGACGCACAACAGAACACAGAACACGCCTACCTTGCATTGAGGCTGGATGGTCCATTGGCTTCAAAGAGGCTGTGAGAATCTGTTGGACTCTTCTTACTGAAAGATACAGGGGGTTAGGTGTTGGTTTGGGTTGACTATGGCCTTCTGCACCTTCCAAAGGGGAGAAACAGGCCTGTCTTCAACACTGGAGAGGCACATGAGTGTGTGCCTTCTCCTGGCTGTATATGAATGGTCCTTGCCTGCTGATGGTTATTCTTGTGTTTTTCTGGCATGGATGTGTGAGTTTAGAGATGCTTTAGAAAAAACGTTTCTCAAAATGGGATTTTTAATTGTCATTTTAGCCCTGTATGGGATGAGTCAGGCCTGTGATAGGTGTTTGTTAATGGTAAATTCTCCCCTTAAAGGGAATATTCTCAGCCACAGATATTTGTTTCAAACCATCCTTAGTTCATCCTGAGGCAGCTCCCATTTGAAGTCACAGATTTCCACTGAAGTCCTTTCTAATCTTTGGAAAAGATGGCACCAAGGCTGAAGAATCAGATTGACACTTATTTTCAACATTGCTTTGGTGAACATATGTCCCTGATAGCACTTAAAGGGCAGGGGAGCAGCACTCAGGCTTGATAGGGTGCAAGTCTATCAGCTGTACAGGTTATTGGAACTCTGAATTTCTACCCTTTTCTACTGTCTAATCCCAGTATTCTGCACAAAGTTGGGGTCTTTGAAACACTTCCATGTAAGTATGGCAATTATTTTAACTCCCAGTCTGCCTACAGCTGCTGGTGGCATACCTGCCTTGCATGTCAGATTTTGTAAGCCAAACAGGAAACTCCAGTTGAGCTGAGAGATTCAAGGGCATCTTTCAGTGGAGACATGTTTGTATTTGAGATTTATAGTGCCCTGCATAAAATCATGACTTAGTGCTTATGCCATGGAAATTTCAATTCCCATGATAATCCAATCTTCTTCAAACCTAGTTAAGAGATGCCTTATTATAGCTCTTGAAGTAGATGACAAAGCCTGAAATTCCCATTAGATTAATTAACATTTTGAAGGCACTCTCCTTAGACAC